GGGTGCCCCCACCCTCTGGAACGAACTACCCCCCGAGATCCGGACGATTCCGGATCTCCTAGCTTTCCGCCGCGCCCTCAAGACATGGCTTTTTCAGCAAGCGGGTCTGGCCTAGGGTGAATTTTAAATAGGGACAATTTTAATGATTTTAATAAGACACAGCGACTAATATTTGTTTTTAATTGGTTTTTATCGGGGAGAATGTTTTATACTGTTTTAAAATGCTGTGAGCCGCCCTGAGTCCTGTGGGGAGAAGGGCGGCATATAAGTCCAATAAAAGTAAAGTAAAGTAAAGCCTGACTCCCTCTTCTTTGTGGCAGCCCCTGAGATATTGGAACACTGCTATCATGTCACCCCTAATCCTTCTCTTCATTAAACTAGACATACCCAATTCCAGCAGCCGTTCTTTATATGCTTTAGCCTCCAGTCCCCTGATCGTCTTTGTTGCTCTTCTCTGTACTCTTTATAGATTCTCAACATCTTTTTTACGTCGTGGTGACCAAAAGTGGATGCAGTATTCCAAGTGTGGCCTTACCAAGGCATTGTAAAGTATTAATACTTCACGTGATCTTGATTATCTTTTTTTTAAGCTAGAAAAAGCAGAATGAGCAATTTGACATTGGAATCAGGTAGTCAGAGAGGTGGTGAGTTTCTCTTTTGAGCAAGTTTTTGAACAGTGGCTGAACACTGTCCATGGAAATGTCTTAAACTGGACTCCGATACTAAGGAGATTATAGGACCTAATGGCCTTCATGGATCTTTCACTGTTTGAATGTGCAAAGCTTTGCATCCATTGGTGTCAGATGGACAGACTACTTAAGCCAGAGCACCCTGAAGTGCTGTTGGATCTTACAGTTACCCCATTGAAAAGGCCTGCTGATACTATAGGTGATAAAGTTTAAATTCCTTGATCTGGGGAAGTTTCATAGATTACTTGTTGCTTTGGCACACCTGAAATCTGGAAGATCAGATGGGAGTCTATTAAGTGCAAATCATCATTTTCCTTCAGGGACTCAGCAACGCATGCCGTCTGGGTAGGTGTGTGTGTGTGTATACTTTGTGTTTAGCAAAGAACAATTCTGTTTGTATTTTTTGCAGGAGAGGTTTATGTATCTGATCGAGAAGGGTGTGACAGCACTGGTGATGGGACACAGGAGAAACCTTTCAAAACAGCTTTGCAGGTATGTTTGAATATTTCTGAAACATGTAAGTCAGAGGCCACCAACCTTTTAGGCACCAGGGACCAGTTCTGTGGGGAGAGGTTTTTCTGCGGACCGGAGGGGGCGTAGTTTCATGTGCTGCCTGCATCCCATGGATGGGGCGTCGCTTGTTTGCGTGGCCTGGTTGCTGCCATGCCGCAGCCCAGTGCCGATGCATAGTCCAGGGATTGGGGACCTCTGATCTAAGTAGTTTGCTAGGTACAAATGATTCATCTTTTGGTAATTCAGAATTTAGGACTTTTTTTTAAAGTTACTAAAATGCATTTTATCTATTAACAAGGAAAATCTGTAACCCTTTAGCAATTAAAAATAACCCATTCATTAATTAATTGTCCTTTTTATTATTTCAAAGGCATTGATGTCTACTGGAAAGGAACCACTTCCTACTATCTATGTGGACTCACAAAAAGAAAACCAGGTTGGTTAAACAAATCATTACCATCTTTTCCAGATGCACCAAAAATACTGGTGAGCAGTGCAGAAATTAGCAAGCCTAAATGCCTCACTGGTTTTTGAAATTCACCAGATGTAATTGTGATCTCAGCTTAGATGGTTTTAAAATTGGGATCTTAAATAAACTCAGGGAAAAACTCTTTTAATTATTAAAACTGAGTCTTGCTAAATCTTGTTGAAGTGTGGGATGCGACTATTGTTTTCTTGGGATAGGCTCTCTTGCACTTTTCATTTTCTGATCTCTTCCCAAAATTTCCCTCTGTTCTATTGACCATGCATTAGTATTTCATTTTTAATGAGGGATGGTTGGTACATTTGCAAATAATTGGATGTCACCAATAACCAAAGATTGGACCTTGGAACTTGCGCTGTGTCTTATAGTTACTGATATATGCAAATTAGGAATGCATTCTTGGAATGCAATCCTGATCCATTTGGCTTAGCCCCAGTTAAGCAAAGCCATAACCATTCCAAGTTTCAGCTGAAATAAAACTGAGATGGTCAAGGAGGGCAAGTTTGGTCCTTGTTGTTAATTATCATTTATTTCAGTAGTTTGCCCATAGGAGCCAGGAATTTGGAATGATGATAGTGACAATGATGGCAACTCTCTACCTCTGACGCTTCTCTGTTCATCAGTGGTTACATAAAGTAGTGTTATTCATCCTTGGCAACTTAAAGATGAGTGGATTTCAACTGCCAGAATTCCTCAGCCAGCCGTGCTAGCTGGAGTTTCTGGGAATTGAAGTTCACACATCTTCAAGTTGCCAAGGTTGAGAAACACTGACATAAGGAATGACACTTATTGTCTTGGCAGTAAATAAGATGAATGATGGCTGAATCAATGTTCATATTTCGGTTTCAACTGAAGACTAGTTTTTCTAAAGCAACAGCTAAAAGGGATTCCTTGTCAAAGTTAGAAACGGGATGGTGGGTTAAGATTTTTCTTGTCTGGATCAAAAATCAGCCATGTGACCCTAATTTCTCTTTTAATCTACCTAGAGATGGGAAACAATCTCCAAAACCCAACTCAAGAATGTGAAAAAGCTGTGGCAGAGAGAGCAGCAGAAGAGTGAAGCCAGAGAAAAGAAAGAGGTAAGTTGGCAACTAGAATGTCTATTTTCTGAAATGCTCAAGAATGAAAGTGTTCTTCTAAATGGTCTTCTAAGTTGTTTTTTGAAGCAAATTAGAGACGAGAGAGAAAGAGATTTAAATTAATTTAAACCTTCTGTGGCATTGAGTGATATGGGAGTGAATCATTATAGGTTGGTCCCCAAATTCACAGATTTTCATGCTACCTTAAACCAAAGGAGTTCCTGCAAAGTATCAGCTGGGTTGAAGCATTGCCTTAAGCCAAGGATATTCAAAGTTGGCAGCTTTAAGTCTTGTGGATTTCAACTCCCAGAATTCCCCAGCCAGCGTGGTTGGCTCAGGAATTCTGGGAGTTGAAGTTCATAAGTTGCCAAGTTTGGAGACTCCTGTCTTAAGCAAGGTAAGCAAACCATAATCGAATATGAACGGTGAACCTAGTCGTCTGATCCTTGCATAAATCAGTATTCCAAACCAGTGCTGTTTCTAATCCAAGTGGATTTGTATTCTGTATAGTCCTTCCGGAGTGCCATCACAATCCAGATTGTTAGTCCAGTTTATCTATTTATCTCGGACCTTTTGTCTTCAAAGCTCTTGGCAATTACATCAGAGTTCTCTTGAGTATAACCATTCAAAAGGAAGCAATTGTCAAGAATCATCATGGTGTAATAAATTGTAACACATTCAGTGTTAGGTTTAAATGTCACTTATTCATTAAACTTTTAGAGAAATATTTGGCAAGTTGCTTGTTCAGGCATAAAATGAAGCAATAATGTGATTTTTTGCTTACAGTAAGGTGCAAACCATTCATTATGGGTTGTAATAATGTGAGAACCAACTTGCTATGGCTGAAGTTACATTTCATGCTAAGCTAGCCTTCCCGCGCTTGGCACTGTCAGCTCCCGGGATTCTCTGGTGAGATGGCTATCAGAGAATGCTGGGAATTGAAGTCCAGATATCGAAATGGCAGCGATAAGGGATGCTTTGTTTGAGTAAAGTTACAAGGGATAGGGTCAAAAAGGATAAGACAACGGGAAACATACAGAAAGGCTAGACCAGGGGAAAGGGGTAACACAAAAGTGGGATTAATCCCACAAAATAACATCGCTTCAGCAAGTCTACCAGTCCGGGTTTACATATTAAATCTTAATAATTACTCTATTATTAAACAACTTTCCATATAATCATGTAAATAACAAATTAATCAATAAATCTCATTCTTTTCAGTACTTAACAATGCTTAGTATTAATTAATTATAATCACTTTAAGATAATATATTACATATTAATTCTAGTTTAAAGATCACAAGTATACTATTAAAGTATATTATTAAAGATCACAAGTATACAAAGAGGAAGAAGAAGAAATAAGAACAAGTTCATACAAATAATCATGGAATATAAATACAAATTATCAATTATCTCTTTAAATTTCATAACCTTTTCTCATTCTAGCGTGTTTCTAACCAATAATAAAATTTCCCCCATGTTTTAAAGTAGATTGTGTCTTCTTTCTCTTTCATTTCTAAAGTCAATCTATCCATTTCTGCACAT